TATTATGCACTAGAACAATGAATTAAATTATCCATCCAAGCGTTATGCGGTCGACGAGATGCTATACTTGATGAAAAATATTGGGTGATTTTGCACCATAAATCTATACAACTTAAATTGAAACTTAAACCGAAATCGAAATCGAAACCAAACTGAAACGAAACTAAAATCTAGTTACCCACTAAGCACATATATACATGAGTGTGTGTTATTATGTGTAGATCAATGATGCACTGGTGCAGTATCATCCAGTGTATCTCACCGAGTGTAGCATATAAAAGAACCGAGTTATGCATTGTTCTATACCATAGTCTCGAGCAAGAACTAGATTAATATCGAAGTAAAATCCCAATTCTACCCTTAAATCCAGATATTTACTATAAAATCAAACCATTGGATAAGTAAATGATCTTGATTAATAATATGTATTATTGAACTTCAAACATAGACCACCGACGAAAAAAAAAAGATCTTGATTAATAATATTTGAAAGCCAATCTAGACTATATCAAAGGAACTTAAAATATTAAAATATAGTTAAATAAGTTTTAAAATATAGTTAAATAAGTTAAAAAACTGCCAGATAACAGCTTTCCCATTATAGCAAATAATTGAAAATCCAGGTCAAAAGTTTTTGCAATGAATATAGAGAATAATTGATACTTTTTTAAATTTCACCAAGTCAATGGGAGAGCTTTTGTTCTTTAATAGTTAATTACAGCCAGGCAATAGAATAACGCCACGTAAGACAGCATAAAATACGAGTAAATTGCAAATACTACCCCTGTGTTATCTTGAAATAGCAAAAACCCCCCTGTGATAAATAAACTAGCAAAAACCCCCCTGTGAAATTTAGTCAAAGGCATAATCCCCCCTCGCTGATTTTTTAGACTTGAAATGACAAAATTGTCCCTCAAAATGTATTTATATATATACATATTATATGTATATTTATTATTTTTAATTTATTTGTTTAGAAATTAAAAAAAAATAGTAAACAACTAAATTGATTATTTTTTAAATAAAATAATTAAAATATTTATAAAATATAAGAATTTATTAATTGCAAGACTCCAGGGGTATTTGTGTCTTTTTATATCAAGTCAACCCTCAAATAGTTCCATAGGGGGGTTTTTGCTATTTAAATAATTTCACAAGGGAGGTTTTTGCTAGTTTATTTATCACAGGGGGGTTTTTGCTATTTCGAGATTACACAGGGTTAGTTTTTGCAGTTTACTCCATAAAATACCTAACCAAAGAGTTTCCAGTTTGCAAGAATGGACACTTGATCATCAGCTGCTGACATCTCTCTCTCCTATATTATTTATTACAGAGATGCCTTCAGACATAAAACTCAACACAGAGAGAGAAAGAAATTAGAAAAAAAAAACATAATAAAAATCTGATCTTTATTGCTTATTTGAATTTTCTTTTTTCTTTTCTGGAGATTGTTTTTTTTTTATTTTTTATTTTTTGCTGTGATTAAAAGGGAAAGAAAGGATGGAAAGGTATGAAATATTGAAAGATATTGGGTCTGGGAATTTCGGTGTTGCCAAACTTGTTAGAGATAAATGGAGTGGGGATCTTTATGCAATTAAGTACATTGAGAGAGGCAAAAAGGTTACTTTTTTTTTTTTTTTTTGCTTGGATTAATTTTCAAGATTTCTGCTCTAATCTTTCAAATGATTGTTTTTATTTGATGGGTTTTTTTTTTTAATTTTGTGTGTGTGTGTGTGTGTGTTTTGTGTAGATTGATGAGCATGTGCAGAGGGAAATCATAAACCATAGGTCCTTGAAGCACCCCAATATTATCAGATTCAAGGAGGTAAAGCTACTGTTTACTCTCTCTCTCTCTCTCTCTCTCTCTCTCTCTCTCTCTCTCTCTCTCTCTCTCTCTCTCTCTCTCTCTCTCTCTATCTCTCTCTGTCTCCAAGTTTTAATTTTGTTTTGAGTTTTTTGGTGATTTTTGACTTGATGTACCCTGGGATTTTACCGATATCGAAAACATTACTGTGATTCATATATCTGATCAGCTCAAATTGCAAGATTACGTCTTTTTTTTTGGGTCCCGTTTCTTGGTCATCGGTTTCGTAAATTTTTCGTTCACAAGATGTTCGATTTTGTTAAAAAATTAGTATGAACAATAAGGAGAATTCTGCCTCCACTCTGTTCTAAAGTATTTATCCAGTGCCATATGAATTATAATTTCAAGAAAATAACCTATATAAGTAAGAAATTTCGGATTTATTTATGTCGAACGACTATTTGCCCGTGTTGCAGGCTTTGCTTACCCCAACTCATCTAGGCATAGTAATGGAATATGCTGCGGGTGGAGAGCTTTTCGAACGAATATGCAATGCTGGCCGATTCAGCGAAGACGAGGTATACTATTTTATCGAGTTTTCATTTTCTAACGAAAAATCAAATAAAATTCAATTCAATTAGCTCGAAGCTTATCACGAGAACCCCGATTTATTGTTTTTCGAAAAAATTCAATCTTATCAATGAATACGTGTTTCGTTTGTTTTAGGCGAGGTTTTTCTTTCAGCAGCTGATTTCTGGAGTCAGTTACTGCCATTCGATGGTAATAACTAATAACCGGACTTTTACGTGATTTTCTTACGACAAAGCATTTTTTTTCGAACAATAATTTTGAACTTTATTTTTCTTTTAAAATATGCAAGCAAATTTGCCACCGAGATCTAAAGCTCGAAAACACGTTATTGGACGGAAGCTCGGCACCCCGCCTCAAAATATGCGATTTCGGTTATTCTAAGGTATAATTTAGTTTCTCCACTGTAATATATATATATATATATATATATATATATATATATATATATATATATATATATATATATATATTAGAAATACAGTTTCTTGATTATGTGTTCTACGGTTATTTATCCAGTCAGCGGTATTACATTCTCAACCGAAATCAACTGTCGGAACACCTGCCTACATTGCACCGGAAGTCTTATCGAGGAAAGAATACGATGGCAAGGTACTAAATAATAATAAATCTTCGCCTAATTTTTTTTTCGTAGTTTTTTTTCCTATAAATATAATAACAAGACAATTTATTTTTCTCCTTTAATTTTTTGTCCCTAAAAAAGATTGCAGATGTTTGGTCATGTGGAGTTACTCTATACGTAATGTTAGTCGGTGCATATCCATTCGAAGACCCAGATGATCCGAGAAATTTCAAGAAAACAATAAATGTAAATTTTTTTTTTTCCGATTAAATTAAATTAGAACATTTCTTGACTTAATGTAGTAACAAAAAAATCGAATTTCATTTTTTAAACAGAGAATACTAAGCGTTTCCTATTCGATTCCGGATTACGTAAGAGTTTCCAACGAATGCAAGCATCTCTTGTCTCGAATTTTCGTTTCCGACCCCCAAAAGGTAAGTTTTTATTTTGAAAAATATATATATTTATTGATTTTATTTAATGGTTATTGTTGTGATAAATGCAGAGAATAACGATTCCGGAGATTATAAAGCACCCTTGGTTTATGAAGAACTTACCGGCCGAATTTATGGAAGGAGAAGAAGCGAGTTTGGATGTGAAAAATAGTGATGAATATATTTCGCAGAATATTGAAGAAGTGGTTGCGATAATAACGGAGGCTCGAAAAACGGGGGAGGGGGCCAAAACGGGGGGCCCGTTTTTGGAAGGGAGCATGGATCTTGACGATGAAATAGATACGGATGCTGATATCGATGATATTGAGACAAGTGGTGATTTTGTTTGTGCATTGTGAGTTCTACTATTTGATCAAGAAAAAGAAAAAAATGGTGATTTTATTTTGTTTACAGATGAAAATGTAATATTATTATTATTTTTTGGGGGGATTTTGAACAAGTGGTTTATTGTACAAATAAAAAACTATATGTTGTAATAATAATGCATAAATATGTAAGTGTTAAGTTTGTTTTCCACCACTCTTTTTCTATCTATACAATTAAGAATTAACAACATTTTGCACTCTCGTAACCAATGGGTCGTTCACAATGTACTATGAATTGAATATTTATACTTTTTTTCTGTTGAAATTGAATAGTTAGAACTTAATAAAGGTAATTTTCATATTTAATTTGTTAGTTCGAACAATTGATGAATATAAAAAAAATGATTCGACATTCAGCAATATGTAGAAAAAAAACCACTAAAATTATAAATTACCTTCACTAGCTTTAAAACTTCATTCCCGTCGCGGTGCATTTAACATAATTTATTTTGTTTTTGTAGGGTGCAAAGTGCTATAAATTTGTTTAGAGCATGCAAAGTGCCAAAAAAATATAATTCAAGGGCATAAAGTGCAATTAAGCCGAAAAATAAACATATTAATTTATTTCTTAATATTTGTTTAAATTTAAATGTTTATTTTTTTAAAATTATATTTTTGGGCTACGTAATTGGGCTTCAATCAAATATGCAAACCCAATCATCAAAACTCATGTTAATTGGGGCCCTGAAACCCTAGTTCAGAAGAAAGCAGCAATTTACTCATCTTCTTCACCGCCGCTTCTGCATTTCACTCCATCGCTGCCGCTTCTGCATTCGTTCATCCAAGATGAAGGTTCTCTCTCTCTCTCTCTCTCTCTCTCTCTCTCTCTCTCTCTCTCTCTCTAACACACACGCACACTTGTTCACCGGAGAGTAATTTGTTTGTGCATTTTTTAAATTACGATGTTTTTATTTATCCTGAAGAAATTCACTAAAATCGTTAATTTTTTTGTTGATATCTGTAGTTCAACATAGCGAATCCGACAACCGGTTGCCAGAAGAAGCTGGAAATTGACGATGACCTTAAGCTGTATGTCTTTCATTTACATTTTTTCTCATTAAATCTGTATTTTTTTTTGTTCGTTCAGATTTGTTACTGATTCATTTGCTGCAATTCTATGTAATTATGTGTTCGAGAGCTTTCGTTAACGTCTGTTTAGCTGTAACCGGTTGAAATTTAGGGTGCGAGATTTTCTTGCATTGTGAAAATGTTGAATAAAAATTGATTCTTATTTTGGTTAATGATTTTTGTAACCCTAGTAACTCAGATCTGTATGTCAGTTTCAAGCTGCGATCTTTACTAATTTTATTTACATGGAATCAGTTTTCTGATATGACTTTTCGAGTTCTTGACTTTTGTTGCCTTGTTATAATAACCTAGTATTTTTTTCCCGTATTTTCGAACAATTTTAATCCCTTTCAGAGCTTGTCGTTTATTATGTTCCATATAAAAAGGGTCTCATCTAGTCAAAGTCAGACCGTATTTAACTCGTAGAGTCGTACCTGCATGAAAGATTTGATTGTTGTTAGTCTTTACATAGCCGATATCCTTTCGTAAATCTCGTTAATCTTGGCTTTATTTATGTAAATTGCAGTCGTGTGTTCTGGGACAAGAGAATCTCACAGGAAGTCAATGGAGATGCTTTGGGCGAGGTACACGATGTTTAATTGACTAACTCGAGACCCGTTAAATATCTTACATATTGAGCTTAATTCATTTGATGTAATTCATTTGATGTTTATGCTAATGTTATTATCCCGTGTTCGAATTCCAGGAGTTCAAGGGGTACGTATTCAAGATCATGGGAGGATGTGACAAGCAAGGTTTCCCAATGAAGCAGGGTGTCTTGACACCTGGCCGTGTGAGACTCTTGCTTCACCGAGGTGTGTGTAACTTCTTCTGCAAGCCCTCTAACATAGTTGAAATTACTATCTAGTCCCTGATTTTTACAAGATAAATTTGTGTTTGACCAGGTACCCCTTGCTTCCGTGGTTATGGAAGGAGAAACGGAGAGCGAAGAAGGAAGTCTGTTCGCGGGTGCATTGTCAGCCCCGACCTCTCGGTTCTGAACTTGGTGATCGTGAAGAAGGGAGACAACGATCTTCCGGGACTGACCGATGTCGAGAAGCCAAGAATGAGAGGTCCGAAGAGGGCTTCGAAGATTCGCAAGCTCTTCAACCTTTCCAAGGAAGATGATGTCAGGAAGTACGTCAACACATACCGCCGAACATTCACTAACAAAGCTGGTTAGTCAACCATTCATTTTTCCGATTCAAGAATTACCAAAACTGTCCGATTTTCAGTTTTTACATGCTTGTAATAATCTTTTTTGATTTCTGTCGCAGGTAAGAAAATCAGCAAAGCTCCTAAGATTCAGAGGCTTGTGACCCCGTTGACTCTGCAGAGGAAGAGGGCTAGAATTTCGGACAAGAAGAAGAGGATTGCAAAGGCAAAGTCGGAAGCTGCTGATTACCAGAAGCTTCTTGCTTCTCGATTGAAGGAACAGAGAGAGAAGAGGAGCGAGAGCTTGGCTAAGAAGAGGTCTAGACTCTCTGCTGCTTCCAAGCCATCGATTGTTGCATAATTTTAGTTATGTGGTGATTTGAAATACACTTGGTTTGTGGGTTTTGTTCGCGAATTTCTTGGTTCCATTTTCGGGCCTCGTTGGTTTTAGTTTTTGAGGATGTTTTTAAACTTTTATGCAATTTGACTGCTATTTTGATTTCTGGAGAAAAAGATTTTGGGATGTGGATTTGTTGAAGTTGTTTTAGCGATTGATATATCGATATATTGCTCTCTCGTTTTATATTTTGTTATCCTCTAGTTTATCTTGCTTTTCGATTATTAACTGTTTTGGATCTTTAATCTGGTGTGGATTTGGATTGTTTTAGCTTGTGACCAAATTAAACAATGGTTGTGTATTAAATATTATGTTAGTGCAATAAAAAAATGTCTGAGATTGGAAAAACACACCTCGGTGTAATGGAACTTTAATCGATTCTTTAAAGTAGTGGTTAAAAGTTAAATGACATCCATAATGGTTGCTCTTGGAGTAGTCGGCTTGGCCCTGAACCGACATGCCTATGCTTCGTTTCTCAGGAAATTCGCGCACCGGAAGATCCGGAATTTGATACTTTCTTTAATCAATACAGCAAGAATTGCAAATTGTTGAAGTGGGCTGCAATGTTTCAGTTTAATATTGTATTCCAATTGTCTATTATAGTATAACTCATTTAATTCAATGCAAACGTCGACGTTCTGACACCAAAAAAATTTAACAGTCGAGAATCGAGGGCAACCAACTCTGCCAATCCGCTCGATATTGAAACACCATCGTGAGAACCGGTAATCAACAAGTATAGGGTTTGTTTTAAGCTACAGTTGATAAATTTACATTCTACTATACACGTGTATAGATCCATACATATTTTACACGCATCCACATGTATATGTGGTTGTGCGCGATCACTACGTCCAAATTAAACGCGCAAAACTAATTCTATATATTTTATCGAGTGTAACATCTACACGACACAACAAATACAAACCCTAATTCTCAATCACCATTTTTTTTCAATTTTAATTTTTATATTAGCAAATTCTCAATCAATTCATCAAAGAAGTAAAAAATGTATATAAAGATTCTGATAAACAGTTGGGCTTCAAGCCCGAATTAGGCCCATTAAATTGAATTGGGCTTTTTTGTCTTTTGCGAAAACCCAAAACCCCCAATTTTTTTAACTGTATGTAAACCCGCCTCTTCTTCCATTATCGCCACTCTCCAGAAACCGGCGTTCTCCCCCATTTTCAAAAAGCTGCAACTGCAACTGCAGCCACAAGAGGAGGCGTAAAATTAATTTTGAATTTGAGAAGTGAAAATGGGAGGGAGAGGGAGATCTCGCACTCAGAGGAAACACTTCCGGCAGGGGAGAGAAAACGTGTGGAAACGGACGAAATCCGATGATTCCGCCGCCGCAGCAACCGACGATGCTAACGGCAAGACGAATCAAGGTTGGGAGCCGTTTGCCACGCAGAACCCCGGCTTCGATGAGTACTACAAGGTAAAAGCTAGAAGAAGATGGCGAAATAGATTCATTTGTTTGCGTGTATAGCTGAAATATGGTTTTTGCTTCGAAATTGTGTGTGTGTTTAATTATTTTGAAAAATGGTTTTTGCTTCGTAATTGTGTGTGTGTGTGTGTGTGTGTGTGTGTGTGTCTGTGTGTGTGTTTATTTTGTGTAGGAGCAGAATTTTTTCCCCCAATGTATGTGCGTAACTGCTGCAATGGGGGTTTGTTTGGCATTGTGTTGAATTTGGGTTTTGATAAATATGCAGGAGCAAGAAATTGTTTCGCCTGAAGAATGGGATAGTTTCATTGAGTATCTTAGGAAACCGCTGCCTGCTGCTTTCAGAATCAATTCCAGGTTCCTACTCACTCTGTTTTTTTTTTTTTTTTTTTTTTTTTAAAAATTCAATTATATACCTTAACAGACCGTATTTGAATGCTCAAGGTTTTATCAAATAGTGTTCATTTTCTAAAACAAGTGTTGTTAGCAACTACCGACATTTATGCCAAGTGATGCGTTCATGCAATCGGTTAGCTGTATCATTTGTGTGTATTGAGAAATTAGGCAACTATCAGCGGATAATATTTAATGACCAACTTCTTGCTTTGGTGATTCGGTTCTTACTTCACTGTTCATTGCACATCCCTTTGTTCACTTGTTATTCAGATTTATTATACCTTCCCGATTCTGCAGAACCTTTTTGAAGTCATATACTCTCTCTTTATCCAATTTTGCAGTTGTCAGTTTTATTTGGATATTCTGTTGCAGCTGGAGAACGACTTTATGAAATCTATTCAGGCAGAGGTAAATTGGTTTCATCTTTTCATAGTTTTTCAGTTACTAATGCACCAAGGTTATGCACAAAATGCCGACATTGTTCAGTGTTGATTGGTCCATGTCTCTTCGATTTGTGCAGGATGCTGATGGATTTGAAGTGGATCCCATAAAACCACTACCATGGTACCCGGATAATCTTGCTTGGCAGTCAAATTTTTCTAGGAACCAGTTGCGGAAAAGTCAAACCCTCGAGAGGTGAGTGGTTGTCTACCACATAATTTGGTTTAGGACTGGTGAAAAAATAGCATCAGTATCCAGTTATTCTTGTCTATACTGTGAGAGTTAGAAATTATTTATTTCTTAGCTAAATTCGTTAAGTAGCCGCAAAAATGTTAGAGGGTCTGTTAAGTTGATACTTCTTATGTCCATAAAAATGAAATAAACAAGAAATTTGAAATAGACATTGGGTGTATGAGAAAACATTTGGGGTGGGCCCGGCAAACGAGAAAGTTGCTTCTTTCGCTGATTGTATGAATTTGTGTCTGTAGTATGTTTTTAATTATATATCGAGATGGGGAATCTACATAATTGCGGTATATTGGATCACATATTTGGTTTAATAGATTGGTGTTACCATTACCTTTTGGTGACACATAATGTCGTAATGTTTGTACTTGATCAATTCACTTTTCATACATTTGGAACTTATTTTAACACATGATATGTTATGTTACTGACTATCCAAGTTATTCTGTAATACGTTGGTGGCTTTCCACATGATTTCTATCTGGAACTTTTTCAAACTGTAGCAGTACTTCATCTCAATGTTTTCTGTAAATCTTGTAATAAACTAAAGTCTTTCTAATACGTGGTCATTCTGTCATGCATCTTAAACCGCTTAGGAGATAGATTTAACCGTATTCACTTTCTAAAAGAAGTTGTTAGATGCTATGTTTTTTTCAGTCTATAACATTCCTGTTTATCTTTTAATTATCCAGTAATCATTTTCAGATTTCATGAGTTTCTGAAGCTAGAGAATGAGATTGGAAACATTACAAGACAGGAAGCTGTTAGCATGGTGGGCCAATATTCCATTTAATCTTTTGTTTTCTTGTTCAGTTGGATGTGAAAAGTCTGATATCAAAATTGTGTTTTTATGCTGTTTATATTATTATTTGCTCTCCGATTTCAGGTTCCTCCACTATTCCTCGATGTACGTCCAGATCATTTTGTTCTCGACAGTAAGCAACATTTATGACTCGAACATTATTTATGATTTTTTGTTTGTATAAAGGGGGATACTATTCTACCACCTGTTATGCAAAATTTTATGTATATCACTACTAAATCTAAGTGATTTACCTATACACAATGCAGTGTGTGCGGCACCAGGTTCAAAAACATTTCAGTTACTGGAGATGATATATAATTTGACAGAACCAGGAACTTTACCCAGTGGAATGGTATTATTCCATCATTTCTTCTCTTTTAATTTATTTTCTTCAACAACATCCTTTCCTGATGGTAACTTATCACACGCCTCTGATATAGATTATCGCAAATGACCTGGATGTTCAAAGATGTAATCTTCTTATTCACCAAACGAAAAGAATGTGCACTGCCAACTTGATTGTCACAAATCACGAAGCACAACACTTCCCAAGCTGCCAATTACATAGGCATCACTCAGAGAACTCCCAGATTGGTATTCGTCAGCTTGAATTTGACCGGGTTTTGTGTGATGTCCCTTGTAGCGGTGATGGTACTTTACGTAAGGCTCCCGATATTTGGAGGAAGTGGTAATTATTTTTATTGGCTGCTTTGAAATTCATTTTGACTCTCATTTTCCAGTGTTTATTATTATGGTGTTGTCATCTCTCTTTTTAACCGTTACAGGAATGCTGGAAATGGTAATGGTCTACATTGCTTACAAGTCCAGATAGCAATGCGAGGTACTATTTTTCATGAGTTGAATTCCCTCTCTTAGTAGCGAAAGTAAATAAGCAACATGTTAGTGGCTCCAGTTTCTATCGATTGAAATTTATGCAGTGGATCATTCATTTGTTACAACTATTGCCATCTATTTTGGTTAATTGTTTGAGGAGGGGGAAGGACAAACCTATCATTAGGGTGTTTGGGGTGCACCTGCTCCTGTATATAATCCTGAAAACATGTAAAAATGAGGGAGACCTAAAACGTTACCTCTAAAAGAAAACCAGTGCAAGAATATTGCCAGTTTTCTTTTGACCGATAGGAATGTGTAGAATATTACTCAAGATAACAGTTCTAACTTCTCCTTAGTAACAAAATCAGAAGATACTGTCCAGTGAAGATGCTTGCCTGCAGCATCTGTTAGCCATAAATGAGAAAAGTAGGTCCAAACTTCTACTGTTATGAGAGTTTCGATGTATTGGGTTGCTTAAAAATGTGTACATGAATGTAGCAGGTTTAGTCAAACCACTGAACCACCATCTCAAGTCGTACACAACCTCATATCCCATAATAACCTTTTTGTTAAACAGACACTTATACTCGATGCAACCATTTTGACTCGTTTGGAGATTTCTTATACAATTGGTAGAACCAATTTTCAAGAAACATAAATTTCTTCAAACGTTATATATATAAAAAGTCTCGAGAAAGGATAAATGAAACAATAACATATTAGTTTTGGTGGAGTGGCTCAATTGAGTGTTTGTATCCTTGTTTGGGTATATCTTCATGTTCTCAGTTCTCATGTTCTGTGATGGTACTTTAGATTGTATAGCTTTGTTCTAGTTCCGATTGGATATTCACTCTTGGAGTCGATAGAGTACAATTTTTACCTGAAAAGAGTGGCTCACTGTACATAGGTACAAACATGTATATTTGGGAGTGGGAGTGGGTTGGAGGGGATTATGACTAAAATTCAATTGCATTACCTTGTGATTCCTAGTGTGAGTGTGTATTCTGTCAATGCTCAAAATCTTTCAAGACACAAATCATTGTGAATATGTCCGAGCATCTAGTCTGTGATGTGCCGTCAGATCTTAATTAGGAGTCCTATGATTGCTTGCAGAGGGCTGGAAAAAGTAAGTAAAAATACTTTAGTGTAGGACATATGTATATTGGAAAACAAATGATCGTCGAGGAAAAATATAATTTCTCATTACTCACGTTCCCGTTGTCATTATTTTCTTTTGGCATTAGATGCAACTGATTTTTTATTTATGCTCCATTAACATCCTTTAGTTGCCAATTGCACGTGTGATGATTGAGTTTTTATGTGATGTTTTCTAAAACTAGATTTGTTATGTGTACGTTCTTGCACACACACATTTTATCTTATATATATGCTCACTCACAAATTTATTTCTGCAGACCTTACAAATATTTTCTCTGTTTTATCTCTACTCTTAATTATTATACCAGAAAAACACCAATTGTTTTTAATTTCCAAAACATCGTCATTTCAGGTCTAGCTTTGCTAAAAGTTGGTGGTAGGATGGTATATTCCACTTGCTCAATGAATCCAGTGGAGAATGAGGCTGTCGTTGCGGAGGTAGTGTATGAATTTTGTCATGAAGAACTTTAGGAGTTCAGACGGGATAATCATAATGCTGATTTTTAAGTGACACATATTAACATTCAGACGGGAGCATCTCTAATTAATTATCTCCTATATAATAACTTTCAGATGTGTCCATACTTGGATTATGTAAAGTTTATATATAGTTCTCCTGCTTTGGGTTCCGTGGGTGTTTTATGTTTTCTCTTTCTCACATGTTTTTATGTTCTCAGATTTTACGGAGATGTGGAGGAACGGTTGAGCTCGTTGATGTCTCGACTGAACTTCCTCAGCTTGCTCGCAGACCAGGTGTTAAGAAATGGAAGGTTGGTTCTTTGTCGTAATCTTTCATGTCTCCATTTTAATGCGAAATGATTTTCTAGAATTTGTTTTATATTTCCATTTTCTTTTCTTTTGCAGGTTCGCGATAAAGGGCAGTGGCTGGCATCTTGTAATGATGTTCCTAAATATCGTAGAACTGTAATAACTCCAGGCATGTTTCCTTCTGGAAAATTGTTCGAGGAGACATCTGAGCATGATATTGAAGCATCAAACGGCAAAACCAATGAGAACGGTGATGCAAATTCTGAAAACGGGGTCCAGTTGATGGACGAGTCATTAGCCCCGCCACAGAATTTGGAGGCAGAAGTCTCGACTCTACCTTTAGAACGTTGTATGAGGATAGTACCTCATGATCAAAATTCTGGGGCTTTCTTTATTGCTGTTCTTCACAAGATTGCACCCTTGCCTGGTAAGTATTATTACCATTTTAGTTCAATGACAAGAATTTGTATGTAGCTATTTTAGTCACTTAGCATCACTCACATCAAGGGGTGGAAATCGGACTGATCCGATCTGAATCAGCACTTTCGAAAAAAATCCCTTTTTTTTGGAAGTGAAAATAATTCCATTATTTCCAAATTTTTTTTTTGGAAAATTAGAAATCAAAATTTCAGAAATTGGAATGAAAATTTCAGGAATTAGAAATTTCAGATCAGGATAGGCGGAATCTGGAATTTCCAAATTTTTAGTCACCTAAAATGTATAATAATTTTGAAATTTTAAGCATAATTTTCAGAAAAAAATGGAATTTTCGGAAATTATGTTGGATCGGAAATCGGAATTTAATATGTATTCCAATTCTATTACAGAAAAAAAAAACAGAAATTAGAATTTTCGGAATTTGGAATGAAAAAAAAATGTTCCAAAATCGGAAATATTCGGGTTTTCACCCCCATTCACAGCTATCTGATTATCAAGTTCTGTATTATTGGTTTTATGAGCATATGGCTTTGATCTGATCTATATGCATGTTTTTTTAGCCCCTGCTGCCACTGAGAAGAAACCGACAAGTCTTCCCGAGAAAATAGATTCTAATACCACTCAACCTATAAAAGAACTGGATGAAGTGAAAGAGGACAATTCAAATGTGGACGACATTGATTTAAGCGGCGAAGGAGATGTTCAAATTTCTGAAGCAAATCCCGATGCCGATTTGCTGACTGGAGTGGGTGAAGAAGAAGAAGTTCCTTTGGACAACGATGAGAACAGTATAAATGAAGAAAATGTAAAAAAGGAAACTAAACCTTCAGCTGATGTGAAAAAAACGGCTTCGGGAAAAAGGAAGCTTCAGATTCAGGGGAGGTGGAGAGGTGTAGACCCCGTTATCTTCTACAAGGATGAGTCTGTGGTTGGGAAGATAATAGACTTTTATGGAATCAAGGAATCTTTTCCGTTCAAAGGGCATCTTATTACAAGAAACAACGACATGAACCATGTCAAGAGAATTTACTACGTATCAAATTCTGTTAAGGAAGCTCTCGAGTTGAACTTTCTAGCTGGCCAGAACCTTAAGATAGCTTCTGTGGGAATGAAGATGTTTGTAAGTTCTTTACAAACTCGAATCTTTTTACCTTTTTTCCGTTCTATTTCTGTGGGGATGAAGATGTTTTAAGTTCGTTAATTTTTTAACTTTTTTTGTTCCTTATTTCCAGGAAAGGCAGACTTCGAAAGAGGGGACATCAGCACCATGTTTATTTCGAATATCGTCTGAAGGATTGCCATTGATTCTCCCACATATAACGAAGCAAATTATATATGCATCTGCAGTGGATTTTAAGCATCTTTTGAAGTACAAAAGCATCAAATTTTCGGATTTTGTTAATCAAGAGTTTGCAGATAAGGCTATGAAGCTAATGCTTGGTTGCTGTGTGGTGATTCTGAATAGAGGTTTGTATGATGTCTTCTATTCTAAATCATTGTTCGTGATTTTTTTAACTTTTCATTCTGAAAATTTATTTATTTATTTTCTGCAGAAAACGGAGGCTCATCAGATTCATTACAAGAAGATACGAAACCTATTGCAATTGGGTGTTGGAGAGGTAGAACAAATGTATCTGTCATGGTGACAGCGCTCGATTGCCAGGAACTTCTGGAAAGGGTATCCACTCTCGTTTCAGCAGAAGCAAAACCGGAAGTTTCTGAAATCGAATTAGACAATACCATAAACGAGGCACCTGCAAACTCTTGATTGAACCGTCTATTTTTGGAGATTGTCGTGATATTATTATTATTTCGAATGGTTATTTTGGATATTGTAGCAACGTTAAACGTAATTTACAGCTTTGAATTGCAGTTTTGAACAATTATAGCTACTGTTGAACTAGTATGCATGACTGCTGTAAAAGTATAATTTACAGTAATTGAGTGCCATTCTTTTGCAGCAATTCAACGTTCAATTGACTGATAAAACGGAATCGATAAAAATAAAATGATCAAAAAAGAAAATCGGAGCTGTCTGTAGCTGTTATCTCCATACCAAAATCAAATAACCATCAATCCATATATCAAGCTAAATTTACAACTGAAATACATCACACGCTCAAAAAAGAATCACCATCGGAAAAAAGAAGAAAAGAACGAACAAAGAATCACGACCTACAACACACTTTCTTCTCCGGGATAATTTGTGCAGGGCCAGGAACAAGAATCTTCTTACCAGACAAAGACGAAGAAGCGGGCCCCGCATTCTCTCCATCTTCAACGAGGTTTTTCTTGTTCACAATGTTGAAAATCTCAGTCAACACGGTGGAAAAGGCCTCCTCCACATTCGTTGCTTCCAAAGCAGATGTCTCCAAGAAGAAGAGCCCTTCTGTTTGGGCGAACTCCTTTGCATCCTCCGTGGGGACCGCCCTCTGATCTTCGAGGTCGTTTTTGTTACCGATCAGAATTATTACAATGTTTTTGTCCGCATGCGCACGTAACTCCTCTAGCCAACGTGGGATGTGGTCAAAAGTTTGTCTTTTAGTTATGTCGTATACCAACATAGCCCCCACTGCTCCTCTGTAATACGCACTTGTCAC